AAAAAAGTTCAACCGATCTTGATCTTGTTTTTTTGGGGGGGGGGGGCAATTCGTGCCCCCCCCCCCCCCCCCCGTGGCTACGTGCATGATGAACATACCTTGTAAACACTACAGAACAAAAGCAAAACACAACAACACCAAAACAATGTTGAAAACAAATAAACAAAAGACATTTAAACATTAACATTACAAAACAAATGTATACAGGTCTTCCTCGATGATTTCCAAGATCAACATCTATGTGTCATTTTGGTTATTGTATGCACCCTGAGCATTGTAATTACATCTAATATTTTTAAACCTGTAAGTATTTCAACAAATGGTTGGAAATGATGAATTAATGATTCTTACATTTCCTTTGGGATAGATGAGATAAATAATGACTGCGAATGGTACAAGGGGTAGGAAGAGAGATAACATGACCATTCTCCTCCATGTGTTATCAGTCTGATTTTCGGAAGCCCCTGGTACCACAGCGTAGAAAGATGGTGCTGGCAATGAGGATGAGCTACAAACTATAATAAGATGGAGGAAGACAGAAGAGAGAGAGAGAAAGAGAGAGGAGAGAGAGAAAGAGAAAGAAAGAGAAAGAGAGAAAGCGACAGAGTGAGACAGACCAAGAGAGGGAGACAGAGAAACAGAGGGGAGATAAAAAGAGAAACAACTTATGTTGTATATATTTTAATGTTTGTATGTATTTTTCTTCAATTGGAGAATATAAAGACTGACCTAAACTAACAGAACTGAAATTTAATGAGATAAGGAGAGAGAGAGAGGGGGGGGGGGGGGTGAGAAGAGAAAGATATTTGTGGATTAAACGTTAAAATTCGAGTAAAGAGTAAATATTCGAGTCTGAGTAAAGTGGACTTATATCGTTTTCAATAAACTACTGCCCCTTTACAATTTTGGACATAAAATCAGAATCATCATTATAAATGTCAGAGCTAAAGGAGCCTCAATGCTTAATGCCCGCGTTACACTGTCCACAAATTGACACCAGATGGACACACGATAATTTATTAAAAGGAAATGTTCCAGTGCGGCTCTGATCGTAAAGACATCGGGCATGGCGTATGGGCATTTAAAAATGCGTATGACCGCCGATGGATTTCTCAGGCTCCAGCAGCAACTTCATTTTTAAAGCAGTTGTTAAAACATCGACTTAACCCTAATCAGGCCGGGGGCCATTATGCCCCCCCCCCCCTCCACGATTTTCCGATTGCTCGGGAACGCATATGGATGGCCCCCACCGCTCGCTGATTTTTTTCTTTCGAGTCTTGCGCATCTTTCAAACAAAAAAAATGAAAATCGGACCATCAATTACAAGGTCACGTGACCTTTTGTCTTTGCATGTCAGCCCGAAAATCGCTCATTTTTGTGATTTGTGTACAAAACATATGTAAATGTCATTTTTCCTAAAACTTGGTTATTGGGTCTTGTTTAAAGTTTAGGTGGTTGTTTTAGAGTCAAAATAGTTGAATTGAAGTAAGAAATGAAATAAAACACACAAAAACAATAAAATACATAAGTTAAAAAAACAATGAAATACATAAGAAATATAAAAAAACAAGAGATAACATAAGGAATAAGCTAGCTCTTCCGAATTTGTTTGTCCTATTTTATTCCAATTGGTCTGATAAAGATATATAGTGAAAAAGAATGCTTAAATATGAATAATATATGATTTATGGGCAAAAATGTGATTTTATGACTTTATTTGCATAAATTACCATAAATATGCAAATAAGTAAATTTTTCAAAAAATTGAAATTATCATATTATTCTATACACTTCACTTGACAAGCGTGCAAATTTTCGCGGAGATCGGCCGCTTCACGACCGAGATCTTAAGGGGGCCATAATGCCCCCCCCCCGGCCGTACTAAGACCTCAAATAGCCCGGCCTTTTTAGGGTTAATATCAGGGTGGACTTCTCCCTAAAAGACATACCTGTTTTTGTTGGTATTCGATGGCCATCTCCAGTCGTGGGAGGGCGTTCTGATCTTCCTTGTCATTCTCAAGAGGATTGTGGCAGGCCTGCTCTTTGACTTCAGTTTCTGAGATCGCCGCCTGTTTCAAGATCGTTTTCACCTCCTCCGTATTTTGACACATATCGAGAAGGTTGGATGCATACATTTTGCATTTCTGTTTCAGTTCCTTGTACTCAGTCTAGAAATTGAAAACAAAAAGGCTAGGACGTCAGTAAAAGGGAATTTATATAAATAAACGGCAAAATAATAATGTGCACACTAAATTATGATCAATATTCCGTCTGCTATGCAAAAGCCAAAACAGTGGTTCTTTCCCCCTGGACAAACACCCCGAGGACAATTACCCCCGGTAAATTACCCCGTAAAATTACCCCCTGAAAACTACCCTTTGGACAATCACTTTCGCCCTCCCCCTCGAGGACAATAACCCCTTATTACCAGGGTAGACTTCCCCTTTAATGAATGAGGGGGGGGGGGGGGGGAGGTAATTGCCCTCAAGGTGATTTTCCTCGGTTGTCCTGGGGGGGGGGGAGGGGGTTATGTCCATAGGGGGTAATTTTCAGGGGTCGGGGTAAATGTTTTGGGTGGTAGTTTTTCCTTGGTTGTCTCTGGGGAGGTGGTGATTGTATAGGGGGCGATTTTCAGGGTGGGGGGGGGGGATAATTGTCCACGGGGGTAATTTTCGGGGAGGGGGTAACTTTCCTTGGGGTATTTGTCCTCGGGGGTAATTGTCCATAGGGGGGGGGGGTAATTTTCCACGGGGTGGTTGTCCTTGAGGGGGGATTTCCCGGGGAGGGTATTGTCCTTGGGTGGTAATTTTCCGGGCAGTAATTTTCCGGGGTGATTGTCCAGGGGGTTATTGTCCTGATACGCAAAATAGTTACTAATTGCGCTTTACTTAGAGTTAACGTCCAGCTGTTTTTTTTAGGCGATATCACAGGCGTCTGGCACTATTCTCCATTATTATACATCATGACTTTTAACTCTCATGTTTAGTACAGTTTTAATACAATATTGACAGACCGATACATGTTCATGCATTTTGATATTTAGACGTCTGTTAGAATTATAATAATTTATGCACTATTCGATAATGAAATATGATATATGATCATTTCATACTACGAAATCATAACAAGATAGCCACTTCTAAGTACTGTTTTTATGCTGGTAGTTTCCTATAATAAATTCCCTTGTGATATAATGCTAATAATCGTTGTCTCCCTATTAACCTCGCTGTGGGCGTACGGGCAAAGTGTCGCCTCTGGGATGTTCTCCCTTTTCAGAATATTTACTTTTAATTTTCTAACTTTTGACATTTTTAGTAAAGATTACATGTTTTCCTAAAAAAAAAAAGAGAGCACAAATGGACCTGCTTGCTACTGCCAGCTTGGAGAGGTGAAATTTTCTCAAACATCTTAAATGTCATCCCCCTCCTCCCCCGTCTATGCTTGCTGATCGTATATTTTGGGGGTTATGGGTTACATTTGCAAAACATTTTTTTTTTTTTTTTTTTTTTTTTTTAAACTGGAGAAGGGAGAAGAAGTTATTTATTACATTATTAATAAAAAAAACTTAAACTTTCACAAAGGTGCTTTTTATGATGTCTTTCGTTTTGTTGGAGCTTGCTATCGAGAATATGTCTCTTTAAAAATAAATTAATCATTACAAAAAATAGCTGATGAGATTTTAAGGTGAATTGCTGACCTTGAACTCTTTCTCTGTCCGACAGAGGCCGTCTAGCTCTTTGCTCAAGAGGAAAGCAGTCAAGATAGGATCTTCACTCGTCAATGAGATGTAGGCTTCACTACACAATGCGCGATATGCATTAATGATGGATAGAGAGTGCATGAGAGGATCATACTCCTTCCGGTTCAAACAGGTTGTACATCCACAGAGAGGGTGATGGGGTTTGACAACATCGTCACCTGTTAACGCAATGTCAAAACCCCGGGTCAAAACATCAGCGAGAATCATTATGTACTACAAATAAAAAAAATCAACAAATGGCATAACCTAATGAGTACCAGAATTATTTATGAATAAACCGACCATGAAAGAGTAGAATGACCACTCTCATTAACCCCACATATCTTTACCACTAATTTGTACTCACAAAACATTACGTAAATAAGGTTGTGATTATGTATGGGGCGTGGATGTGTTGGTATCGAGGAAACTCGAACTGTACCTTCACCCGGACCTTCACTTTGACGACCTCTCGATAAACAAGGACCTCCTCGGCTCGAGAACCCTATCAATTGTTTAAAACTTTGAGGCCCTGACATAGGAGTATATTTACTGAGGTCAGGTCCCATCTCCCTGTTGAGGTGCTCTTCGTGTAGTACGTCCTTCGTTATGCATAAACTTACATATCGTCCTCGTTATGTTATATTCCTACAAACATGTGTGTCCTCGGACAGGTAATGACGTACTGATGTAGATACACAATACACCAGAAACGTATACATATGAGAGGGTGGGTGTGTGAGTGTGTGTTAGTGTAAATGTTGAATGTTAACAAAATTAAGTTGTATCATCTAGATACATGTATCAGGAAAAGGCGAATGAATATCAGTAGGCAACATAATTTGGCACTCGAACAAATGCTAAGGCTTAGTGGGTTCACTCGACTCAAACATATATAAATACATATATATAGACTCTATACACTTTGTGTCACATGTTGCTACAATTTTTCAAAAGATATTAAATTCATCCATTTATCTAGGCCGGAAAACGAGCGAAACATACACCGGCCTCATCATATCTGTAATGCACCACCGAACAGCAAAATAATGTGTTTTATGATGACAGAAACGAAAACAAAATGAAAGTATTCTACCTCGATCCATGAGTATTCGGAGGATGTCGACTTCATTATACATGGCTGCCATCATGATCGGGGTGACGTCACGGTCGAACTTAGATCGGTAGCTACGATCGTAGAAGGTTTCGTGAGGACCTAATGTTTGCATCGCACGGTTTTTCTTCTCATCGTAGCAAGGATGCCCAGTAAAACCTGTAAAGAATAATGGCCAGTTTGTATAGGATTGGGACGTGTATTAGTCAAGAAACGACATTAACAAAAATAACAACAGCAACAACAAAAAGTAAACTTCTCATATGCCTCGTATGGTAGAAGGAAGGAAAACATTCAGTTAATAATTGAGAAAGATTATCTTACCTAAGACCTATTGAATCATTCCCCTGACAAAAAACAACAAAAAACAAACCAAAAAAAAAGAACAATATATATAATATCAAATAGATAACAAATGAAATAAATAAACAAATTCATGAATAGGTAACAAAAAAAAACAAAAAAAAAACACGAAATCTAACATTTTCTGTAAATGCTCTAATAATAACTTCCTCTAAAACTATTCTCAAGCTATATACATATGTAACATGCTAACTCGATGTAAAGAGTGTTATTCCTAAAGTTTCTTTCCCAAAACATGTTTGTTTCTATTCTACCTATCCATTTGTTGTATTCATATGTCACATGAACTTACAGTAAAAGTGGTCGAATCAAACATTTCACTAGTAAATTTCCAAAATATAGTTGTTTCGCCTTATTTCTTGTTGCTACTGAAAGTTCTTTTTTTTCCTACAAAACAATCTTGTTGGCAAGTTCGTGCAGAGCACTATCGTGACACTCCTGTTTATATGCATAGCTGGTGTTAATTTAATATTTTTTTCGGTTTAAACATTCTAGACGCCGTTAAATCCTCACGATTGCAAAATATTCATATTGCTTGATTTAACATTTTATTCAACAGTATAATCTAACAGCTAGAAAGTGTCATTAATAAGTCCGTAGCCCCAATCATTGTTATCTTAACATTATAGACGCTTTTAAGCAAGGGGGAAATGAAGGAATATTTATTTTACCTGCGTAATGTTAACATATCCCTTGGTGATGGCCACCATGAGGCTTTCATGTATCTCATTGAGACTTAGGTGATGATCATGCTCTTCGATGATGAAAAGCACGATCTCAAAGTGTTCGTTCTCCGTTGCGATCTCGAGGGCGGTACGGTCTTTGCTATCCGTCAGATGAAGCATTGTATTGATGGTCGCAATGTCAGCACCGCCACTCAGTGTCGTCTTCACATAGGCCAGGTTACCATTGCAGACGGCAGTCATGAACCTGGCCTCCGCATCGCCCATCGTCCGCGGTAGGCCTGAATTGGACAGGTTACGCTTTTTCGATGGCATCTTTCTTTGATTTTCTGTGAAAAAAATCAACATTCCCAAACAACTTACAACAGGTCTTTCCCTCTAGGCTACTATGCCTGCAATCCTAAATCGTACTGGTACGTCCGACGTCTCTATCGTGAGATGGAAGCTAACCTCGACGTATCTCTAACCCTAAAATAGGTTAGAAGAATCAATGAGGGGAAAAAAAACACTGTGTTGGTCCCACGACTCATAAAGCCGTGAGACCCACGGGATTGGACTAATAAGACGTATGTAATCATGATAACGTAAAGATGCCCCGTAATTGGTCGTCACCAAATGTAACCATCTATTTAAAATCCTCTAAATCTCCCCTTAAAAATGCTACAGTAACTTTTAAAAAGTAGCCTATCAGTAAAAAAAAAAAAAACAACAATATTACGGGATGATATATATTTGTGTTTTGTTTACTTTTTTTCACAAGAAACGTAACACTTTAAACAAGCAATTAAAAAGAAAGTACTCTACATTCGCGTAATCAAAGGAAACGTCATCTTCCTACCAGGAATGATAAACTATTTCCTTCAATGGTAAGAAGGTAACGAGAGAACCTGTTCATAATTGTTGAAATCGACAATTATATACACAAATTTTGCGGTAGGAGGGGGAGGGGGGTGGTCATCTGTCGCCAAACTCCCAAGATTGAATAAAGAAATAAACTGCAAACGAGGTAAAGGGAGTGTGCAAAATGAAATGAAGACCGTTTTTGTAAGTGTTACAATAGTGACACCCATTGTAGATACACATGAAGGGAGGCCAGAGTACCGTCTTACAAAGAGTTCCGATTGATTTGAATCAATCGCAACTTGAAATTAATCGCAACTCCTACTTTTTCTTAAGTTCACTGTTGCAATTGATTCGAATCAATTATTATTGCAACTCTTTATAATACAAGGACCGGTTGTCGAGATAGTCTGAAGTATCAAGGGGAGGGGGTCAAGAGGAGGTAGGCTAGCGTTTGATAAATTTCGAATTTCATGTCTTCAAATTATAACATTGTTTTAAGAACATACCATTAACGATGGACAAGGGAGAAACAATTTTTCTTAGACACTTAAAGGGAATTGGTAACATTGTTCAGATGAGAAAAAATGGTGCCAAGATAGTGACTTCAATGCTAGATGTAAAATTAAAGATAAACTGAAAATTTGAGTGAAAACAGACCATTATTAATGATACAAATTGGGAACAACTGATCTAATCGATTCTTTAATTCTCCCAACTATATTATTACAATTTTATTAAATTTTAGGTGACTGTAAATCGTCACAAAGCAATGGACGGGCTCTATTCCAGACATTAAAGTGTTGAAATGTTTTTAAAAGCCCGCCTTATGTCTTATTTTCATTGAAAAACGGTTGGGAAAATTAAAAAATGGCTGGGAGAATTTACTTTTAGAGGGTGTCGCACAGCGACGCCTTCAAAGAAAACCCTAAATATCTTTGTGGTTTCAGAATTTGTTCAGGATTATTTTAATGTAAGAGTTAGTACAGTTACTGTAGAGGGAATATAATAAGTAACATTTCATACAAAATCACGCAGTTTTTTCACCAACCTTCAACAATGTTACCGAGTCACTTTGAGAGAAGAATGATGAGGTATAGAGGAACACAATTCTGATCCAAATTTAACAATCCGTCCATCTGTCTACTTTCAAACGAAGGAAATGTGTCCCACGCGAGAGTTAATGCATCGACAATCTTTTTTTATATTAGGATAAACGCTCATCTTGAAGTGATAATTTTTGAGTAACCATCAAGTTGAAGAAATACACAGAGTAACTTACAAAATAAACTTGTGCAACTGCAAAACGTCTATTGTGGTTTCCCAAAAATATGTCAATCCTGCACTGGCAAGAGCGGTGTAGAACACAGCGTTACGTTGAAGAAGCGGCATCAGGTAGCACAAACTTACTATATGGTAACTTCAAATCAACTTGTGGAATGGAAAAAAGTATTTCATTGCAATTCCAATCACTTTTTTTACTTGTAGATGGGATCTGGTATGGCGTTAGTTTTGATGATAAACGTCTGATACGATAATCAGTGAGTATCTCCGAGTTGTGAAGGCACAAGTATACTGCATGTTAGCTCACAATATCAAACAATATCAAACTGCAATTCCAAAGAACCATAATTTGTCACTTTTTCCTTGGCAGGCGACGTACAGTATGAAATAAGTATGACGATAACCAATGTAGGCCTACATCTCTCGGTGTCCATAAATTGAGTTGACCCAAAATTGTTCAGCTCTAATTACAGCTGCACATTTCATACAATGAAGACATAATTATGTGCAAGGACGGGTTTGAGGATGTGAAACTTAATATCCTTGCATTACATTAAGATTCACCTTTTATTAGTGGATTGAAAGTAAGGCTAATTATTCACGTCGCGAGTTAATATTAATAGCCTACCAGCACATCGGGATTAAATTTTGTGTTTATCAGGCCAACTGATGTAGCATAATATTATATAGAAAGTGACGTTGACAGTTTTGACATACGTGTAGATGTGATAGGTCCATATTGGAGCGGAGAAAAAGATCTCAAATTTAGATTTAGATTAAAAAAACTCGGCTTTCTAAGTCTGATAATTGTCATAATTTTAATGACGATAACATTCTGACTGAAGCGCTGACAACATGCAAGGGGTACACGCACAAGTCGATAGATGCCGTTTGGTTACATAAAATGTTTTATTTCTCCAAATAGAAGAAGTACAAGTCAAACAAAGTAAATACAAATTACATAATTCAGAAGTTAAGTAAATATTAATATCCTACCATCACATCGGGATTAAATTATGTGTTTATCAGGCCAAATGAGGTAGCATAATATTATATAGAAAGTGACGTTGATAGTTTTGACGTACATGTAGATGTGATAGGTCCATATTGTAGCGAAGAAAAAGATCTCAAATTTAGATTTCTATTAAAAAAACTCGGCTTTCTAAGTCTGATAACTGTCATTATTTTAACGACGATAACATTCTGACTGAAGTGTTGACAACAAGCAAGGGATACACGCATAAATTGATACTGAGATGTCTTTTGTTTTATAAAATGTTTTAAATTTTCCAAATATAAGAATTACGAGTCAAAACCAAGTAAATACAAATGACATCATACAGAAGTTAAGTCAGTTACAAGTCAAAACTAAATCCGTACATTTTGTTTGTTATCCAAAACAATATTATAGAAGAATAAGATTTAAAATATATTACACTTAGTCTCTTTTTACATTAAAACAATCACAAACATTTTTTTATTCATGAAATAATAATTATCTTTAATCAAAACATTATTACTACCTCTGCATATAGAGAATTAACCAGAAAAACATTTAAACACTAAATACACACACACACACACAAAATATATAAAATAGACGCCCCGTCTTTTCAACCTCACATGCATACACAGTCAAACGAACACACAATACCCTCATACACCCCATTCACATTACACTTACTGAAAAAAAATGTTCATAATATGATTCCTCATTATTTTGACAAAATGAACACAGCGGACCCAACTTCACCAAGACGAACATGTGTAAATATTTTTAGTGTAGACAATATTATTCAACATCTTATACAGAAACTCTCGTAGTTTGATATCCAAAGTAGATTTCCTTAATCTGGGATATACCTTTTTAATGTCTTTTTTAGTCAAAGTATCAGCTGCATTGATTAATTAGACGCATATGATATTAAAACTGATATCATGAAAATTACACACTCTTTCTATTTCGTTCGAAAATGTTCTCCCTGTGAATGGTAATGCCTGATATAATTTAGTCAATTTTATTTTCGGTTGCAGTTAAGCCCATGTTCTCAAAGGACCTTCTTGATTTTAAATCATTCCTATCAACCTAATGATGTACTTTTTTTCCAGGAATAAACCCTGATCGTACAGTGTGCAATCATCAATTAAAATAAATATATAATGGAAGATAATTTCATTCCTCTTTGAAACATCTCCAAGCATATAACATATCCATATAAAAATCCGATAAGTGCAAATTGAAAAATCGAAAACTTAAATACTGCTTCCATTTCATGTTCGGGTCTCCTATAATAAGTTTCCTTAAACACATAATTCTCTGCCCTTTAACAAATAATCGAAAGTCTGTGAGTGTAAGCCCCACTTGATCATAATCTAAAAGGACAGTTTCTCTTCTTAATTTTTCTCTATCATTCCATATTTCATTTCATTTTTCATTTATTTTCCACATTAAAAACCGGAAGAATATACAAGGCAAGAAAATACATTTTTATACATTTGACACAGAGCAAATGAAAAACAGATACATAGGCATAAAAGAACAATGAAAATCTACATCTGTTAACAAACATCAACATTAAAACATAAAAACATAAAAAGGTGAGTAATGTAGATGGGGCTAGAAAAAGCGAAGCTTATCGAGTCTAGCCCCGGTAGCAATGAAGGGGAAGTCCACCCTGAGAAAGTGTGTGGCCAAGTAAAGGCGGAGTAAACCCATCCTTAGGATGGACTCTCCCTTCAAATGTCTGGTTTTATAATTAGATTAGATTGACCCGATGATAACATAATTGCGATTTGAAACATAATAATAATTGATTTTAAATTGATATGACTATTTAGAATTGCAAAGATATTGTTTATATTTATACTTAAATTGTCGTAATGATGCAGATTGTTTGAGACTGTCATCTAAAGTAGACCATGTAAGGTAACCCTGATACTTAACACTTCTTTGGCCAGTGGCAGTTCTGTAATAAATGCTATGCAAATTCTTGGAGTTTCGGGTGTTATAACAATGTACATCACTGTTGCATCTAAACCAGTTTTGAAGTGAGTTTGGTAATAGTCCCTTTTCAGACCTGTACATAAATTCTCCCAGTTGTAACCTACCTAATTCATATACAGTCAAAACCCTTAATTGTTTAAAGATATTGTTGGTATGGGCCAAATAAATGGAATCTTCCACATCCCTGAACCACCATTCTGGCATTAACATGTTCTTTTAACTTTTCTCTCTCTCTCTCTCTCCCTCTCTCTCCCCCCCCCTCTCTCTCTCTCTCTCTCTCTCTCTATATATATGAATGTATTTCTTTGTATTTTATAATGTACAATTAGTTTCCGATGCATATAATTCTTCGTAAATCGTATACCGGCCGGATTGCTATGGCAGTTCTTCTCACACCGTTATCCCCATTGTTATGCATTGACACCCCGGATTCGTAATATTTGATTACTGGAATTTGACGCAATCCCGGACATTAAGAGACTAGTCTAACGTCATTACATATCACACCAGGAGCGTTTTTCAACGTTGATGGTAGGGGGGGGGGGATAAACAAAAACAAAAGGCACTTACAAAGGGTAACCTAAAAAAAAAGATGATAAAAATATATTTTTTGAGACATACATGAAGGTGTATACCTAAAGGCACTAAGCAAAAAGGACACTTTTCAAAGTTGAAGTTCGATTTCAAAATTATTGAGTTCGAAATCAACCCCCCTCCCGCCAAAAAATCCTAGTAACGGGCCTGTAATCTGACATTGTTTTAGAGAACTTTGCTCCAAGCTATATGTTGTCGAAGTGGGGACTTCCTCCCTCCAAAGGTAGGCCTAAACGGTTTTGCATAAACCGTAAATTCAATATTTTAAGGCATTTTCGTACGATGATTGAGATATTTATTTTCGCTCAAAACTGCTCTAGATTTTGAGACGAGTTTTATACATGTCCTCATAATACGTCATGACCTTGTCAGAGCACCTGATGACGTCAGCCGGTAGTTGATCACGTGGTGGCATCTTCTTCGATGGGAGGAAGCAGCTACTCTTCATCGCTGTACCATAGAAATTGACCAAGTCCATCAGGAGATTGTCACCACTAGCTTTCATTCTTGTCAGCACCTTGGTGACGCGTCCCACTGCAGTAAGCCGTTGCTGTACGGTAACCCGACGGCGGTGCAATAAGCCGAAAGCGTCTCGGCAGGTTTCGACAACAGATCGTTACCATCTATAACGACAGGGTTGGTATCAATATTCTCGTCTTGAATGTAATTCCAGAGGTCGTATGTTTCTTTCGTGCCATAGCCAGAGGGGAAGAAGCGGTCATCGCGTTCCACGTCGTAAGTCTCCTCAGAGGCAGCTTTACCTGTTTGTGAAAAAACAAAATCGTTTCACTACGTTGCATTAGACTTTATTACACCCGTTGTACACGAGGTGTCATTTTGCTGTCTTAGGACTTCTTCACCAACGTCAGCGGTGTTTGACGCGCTCTCCACGTGATCTCAAATAGATTATTTATTCATTTATTCATTCGCCAATATTTAAAACAAAAAATACAAATATACAAATGAAATATAAAATGCAAGTTAACATTATAGTCTAAAACATAAACATTGCATAAATTGTGACAACATAATAATAATAATAATGATAATAATAGTCTTTTAAAGTCCACTCCAAATTTTATTAAGTTAAACCGAAAATGGAAATTCTTTTTTCCCAATTGATCGTGAGCCCGGCAGCCACTGAGCAGCGCCAGATCGACGTTGCTCTATCCCTTATTGTTGAACGCCAAACAAGGTAGCAGCAACTCCTCTCTTTTAACGTCTTTTGGTATGACGCGACCGAGGTTCGAACCCACGACCTTCCGGTTCTGAGACCGAGCCAACAAATACTTAAAATAAATTATACGCTTATCTTCTTCAGGGCTCTGTTTGCATACAATTAAAACTGACCTGTAATAGGTAAAATGAATGGATCCAAGTCAATATTAGAATAAAAAACAACAACTAATAATCAGGGACGATTTGAGAATAATTAAAACATACAAAATAAGATTCAACACGAATTATCAACTTTTTGTTGATTAAAAACCAAGATACTAAAAATATATACAGTATATATATTTTAATGGGTGAATTAAAGATAAAATGGGACAGGTCGTGTAACTACCAGCACATTTTAATCAAAACATTGCATAGTTATTGATATGCTTAAAATACATTAAGCTGGAACAATGGACATATTGGTGGTTGTATTCCAAGGTGGCTGAAATCCAAGACATGAAGGAACATGATTATAGGGGGTTATATATAGCTACGGAGTTATTTCTACATGTGCTTAAGAAGGCATTTGAATGAATTGGGTGTTTTTGAGAATCGTATGTGGTCGGGTAGTTGGCATACAGAAACGATTTTTGTTAAAAGCCGTTCGACAGTTTGGTGGTCTCAAAAGAAACTTGCCCGAGTTACGTGTGGTCCTGGTAGAAACATAGTCCACAAATGAAAGTCTCCCATACATGATGGCGGGAGCTAATTTATTTACAAACTTAAAAATCATGAGACAGAACGTCACAGGAGGCTCTATGAAGGATATAGTTTAGTTGGGGCCAGTTTAATTCACGGAAGACAACTTCAGAACGTGTCTCCTATGTACGGTTAGTCGGTTAGATACCATGTACGCTGCCCTTTTATGGAGTCTATTTAGGGTGTCCTTCTGATCTGCCACACCATACATTTGAGCGGGACAATACATCCCCAATACAATATAGTTAGTTGCAACTTATCAAAGAAATGCTTATTTCTACGCATGTCTCTTAAAGTCGAGGCAGTTGTCGATTATCACACCCCCACATCTAAGCATTTAACGTCATCCGCGCATTTCCACGGAGTCAAATTTCACTCTGAATGGCGTCAGCTGGGAGTCAACTCTATTCCTAGTTAAAGTGACACGGAAAAGGAGTCATCTTGACTCTGAATTGAGTCAATTCTCAGCTGATGCCACACAATCCGAGTCAAATTGATTCGGAATCCGTGTCACTTTAACTAGGAATAGAGTTGACTCCCAGCTGACGCCATTTAGAGTGAAATTTGACTCCGTGGAAATAAGAGTGGAGAGCACGGCCTTGTATACTAATTATTGATAGAACTAAAAACTGATTTTTCACATTGACCCACATTTTATTTATTATCAGATTTGTGGTACTGCAGTGATTTCGTACATTGGTATAGACATAAGTATTCAAGTTGACACCAGCTTAACAATTATTGTGAAGAGTTTCAGGAACGTCATGCGTTGACAAAGGCAACATACCCCACAATATATCATGATATATCATCTAGCTCAGTGAAGTGAGAAGGTCACTAGTTTTGGACAGAAGTACCAGCATACTTGCCCTTTTTCGGCATTCTACAAAATCTTTTGCACTGATAAATTGACCCACTAATAGACAATAAGCATTCCTTAACTCATGCAGAAAACTCGTATTTACATTTAAGAAACACACCAATGTTATGGGAACACCGACATGAATGTTTATTTCCTGTCTTCATATTATGAAGTCATAGTTGTTGATTAGTATTTGCTTTTGTGTTATTCTTACAAATAAAAAAGGATGACTTAATGAATGTCGGTATGCCATGAGATGCATTGTTCCTATACGCATATTCCCTGCATGGGCTCTGTGTTAATAGATACAGTAACAAGTAATGTATCAATTAAACAGTTATATTTAAAGAAAAAAGTAACACCGCGCTTTATACGCTTCAGATCTTAACGAGGCTTTACATTGGTGCCTGGCAAGAGTTAAACTCTGCTTCTAGTTAGTTCCTCTTTTCTCGTGCTATTTCTAGTATATTGTCGTTTCATTGCGTATCTTTCTGTAATATAATTATTCATTGTATTATGTTTTGCATGAGAAAAAAAATCATTTGAATCACGCATTGGACCCCCCCCCCCCACACCACACATACACACCCCACCCTTTACCTTCCAGTAGTCCTAGCTCAGAGAACTGATTGTACATCATCTTGCGGTAGGAGGCTATGGAGCGGACAGGGTGTCGGATGAGAAAGGTGTGTCTGTACCCCTTGGGGAGGTAGGCACGGTACTCCTCCGTCATTGCATTGCCCATGTCCTTTACCATCACGTGTTTGGCGGTAGTGGCTTCAAGACGACGCTTTACAGAACCGTATCTGTATATCAAAAATAAAAGAGGAAACAGCGTATTGTTTATAATCTTGCCCGTTGCCTTGCACACGAGATGCCCCCCTTTTTTAAAATTGTTGTTGTTGTTGTTGCTGCTAACGTATAGACTGCGTCAACGACTAGCGTATTCGATCTTTTTGTCAGATTTCGTTGAAACTTTCACGATACAGTCTACTTCTCTGATTTTTTTAGCTTTCTTTTAGAGTTGTTTGCTTTCCAGGTTGGATTTCCCTTTGCACTAAACTATTTGAGCATCACTAAGCATCCCTCTGCAGATAACAGCTTTTCACACTCTTAACCCCCGCCCGGCCCCGCCCCCTCCTTAGGTTCTGTCAACTTGACTGCCTATAATGTAAATATTAAAGGGAAAGTCCACCCCCAAAATAAGTTTGTTTCGATAGAGGCAGAATAATAAGAAAATCAGGTGAGTGAAAGTTTGAGCAAATTCTGAATGAAAATAAGAAAGTTATGAATTATTGAAGTTGTGATCAATCAAATACAAATTGGCAACTCTGTGACTTATTATACGAGCTCTCCTTCATTTGCTTTGTGCATAATATTCCATAAAATCATGTTTTCTTCGTTATTGATGACGGAATATATATTTGTTCCTTGCAGGGGGAGTATAGAAACATATTTGCAATTATTATATTTAGGGTGCATGTATGGTTGAAATTTTTCTTGAAAATTTTAGATTTTTTTAGTACTGAGCAAATGGAAGTTGAGCTCGCATGATACGTCATAGAGTTGCCAATTTGTGTTTGATTGATCACAACTTCAATAATTCATAACTTTCTTATTTTCATTCAGAATTTGCTCAAACTTTCACTCACCTGATTTTCTTATTATTCTGCCTCTATCGAAACAAACTTATTTTGGGGGTGGACTTTCCCTTTAATATTTACATTATAGGAAAACATGATTTTATGGAATATTATGCACAAAGCAAATGAAGGAGAGCTCGTATAATAAGTCACAGAGTTGCCAATTTGTATTTGATTGATCACAACTTCAATAATTCATAACTTTCTTATTTTCATTCAGAATTTGCTCAAACTTTCACTCACCTGATTTTCTTATTATTCTACCTCTATCGAAACAAACTTATTTTGGGGGTGGACTTTCCCTTTAACTATCGTCAGTTTGGCGGGAAGAAACATTCGGTGGTAATTATGATATTAAAACCCGTCATTTTTATCCGAGCTTTTAACAATGGAGTGTCGACCATTGGAAGATCCCGTGAACAACACTTTGCGCTTTGAGAATCACCAAATTATCTTCCCGTATGATTTGGGGAAAAATAAAGTGTTGCTGTATTCATATCTTCTCATAAAGCTTTATGTTAAAAGAATATCAGAATAGCAAATGCATTTCGAAATAGTCCCTTGGTATAACATTAATCGACTTTTTATCACACTGATCTACCCATGTGAACTAAGAACTAAGAGGGAGGGGGGGGGGGGGGGTAGTGAGCACCTTTTTTTTTTTGGTCCTCGAAAATTAAAAAATTAGCACCCCCCCCCCCCCAGAGCGCCAGGGGGGGGGGCCCAACCCCCAAAAAGGTAAAAATCACGTGATTTTACATGATTTTTTTTTCTCAAGGGGGGGGGGGGGCCTGGATCCGCCACTAGTAGTAGTAGTAGTAGTAGTAGTAGTAGTAGTAGTAGTAGTAGTAGTATTAGTATTAGTAGTAGTAGTATAGTAGTAGTATAGAATTGCAGTAGTAGTAGTAGTGGTAGTAGAAGTAGAAGTAGAAGTATGAGTAGTAGTAGTAGTAGTAGTAGTAGCAGTAGTAGTAGTATAGTAATAGAATAGTATGATGGGATATCTCACGAGAGGCGATCGGGCTCAAAGTGGGTATTTGCCATGCCGTCTAGGGCCTTTTTTACTCTCTGAAAGATCTCCTCATTGCCCTCATACTCCATGGGTATGTTGAGCTTCGTTTGATGTTTATACTCATTGCTGGTGGCGTTGCAGTAGGCATAGGGTTCAAACCACACCTCCGAGGCATCGATGAAGCTGAGACACTTGGCGAGTGCTGTCGAGATGGACCGAGGAACACACCACAGAATGGTCCTGCTACCATCGGTATTCGATGAAGACATTGTCTACTTATATGTTTCCAGTATCTTGTAGGAATGTTCAGAAATAGATCATCAATATAACCTTGATACGAGTAGGCCTATATACTACATACGTGTGAACGGCGATCAATAATATTGTTGATGAAATGTGTAGTCTTTTCTAGCTGTTCTCGATCTTTTTTTGCTGTTTTTTTTCTAGTAACTTTCTGACTGAACAGCACTTACAGCTCTGTTTCTCTGATGGTTTAATTCAAGTTGGCCATACAGCATTTAAACTTGTGTGTAGATATCCGAAATGTTATTTTCCTGCTGTCGATTTTCTTTTCCCAAAGATTTTCTCTTATTCTAAGACAAGTTGACTCCCACACAAATGATATTCGATTGTAATGTTTATCTTTCAGTCGTGGAAGTCTAGGCCTATATCTGCATTATCCAAGAAGAAGTTGAGCTTATTTCAATCCAGATCCGACATATACAAGAAAATGACAACTGGAAGCTAGGAGCAAAATGTTTTATCAGTTGACAGGTGTATTGATATTCTGCTTCATCCAACTATATTATGAAAGAGCAACGCACAAATGAAATCATACTGATATCAATACCATAGTGCTTGCTTTTTGACCTATTTATGACAAAACGTGGATTTTGTACCTACATCATGGAATAAAAGAATGCCCTGTATGAACTTGTATGCCCGGTGTGAAAAGATGAAAGAATTGTAATGTTGACTAACTCGGCTCATTGGTCATTCAGATTCAGATCAGTGACCATATATTCAGTGTCGTCAAAACTCGTGGGCGTGGAGCATATACAATGATAGTCGATTTACTAGGTTAAAAAAACAACTTCATAACCTCACTTTGTGCCATTATGTACCATGTACCATATATTTTTTTCCCAAGACATCATAATTATGCCATTATCTGTGAGGGCTTGTCATGAAATTTGACGATTCTCTTAATCAGTCGTTCTCAAAATAAAACCTATGATCGGATTTTTATTTTGAACATAAAAATTATTTTCAGGACATCTTATATATTGTAACGACCACCGCGGCCGTGACTTATATAAAGGCATGACTTATTTTTTTTTAAACTTTGTCATTAAGGTGTTAAAATTAACAAAGCCCTTTCTGAGTAAATAATATTAATCGCATACATAGATAGATCTATTGGTTTCTTAAACTTACTTGATAATTTGGAATCATAAAATTGTCCTCTGCTCTAAGACTTGACTACAGTTCTTTATTTTTAATACTGCTTGACAATAAAAGATTACCGTTGACCACTTCTACTGAGAAATGAAAATGAGTCATCGACTGTTTTCAAGCGCAGCGTTCGTCGACGCGCGAAAACGGTGTAGTGTCGAACTTACATGCAGCTAATCTGCTAAAATGCAAACGAACGCTTGACATTTGGATCATGTATTGAGACGCTTAAAATGTTAATTTTTCATTATTTCTCAGTATATCTTATGAAATCGAATGAAAACAATTATTCAAGCAATGGAATTAGTTAATATTTAGTGTAACTGATATTCCACCTAGAGTCTTGTCTATATGTCATTAGTTGTAGACTAGGAGATTTAATCAAAGCCCCACTGTACTACTTGTAGCTATACTTGCTCCCTCTACTTAGAAAACAATGCCTAACCGGTGACCATTGGTCCCCCATGATCCTCTTTTTCTTACATAAATTGAGAGCTGAGTTGATGAGATAGCCACTTGTCAGTGACCAACCTGGGTGGTCTAATCCCTCCTCGCCAAACTAGTACAGACGGCCTTTAAATGTTTTGCTCTAAATTATAAATGCCCCCCTTTAATTCGAAACGTGCCCCGTTTCCTTGCGATAAGTGTCCCCATTTAAAAAAAAAGTCTATATAATCCCCTTTCCCTTCTCATAAATGCCCCCTTTTCACCCTTGATAAATGTCCTCATTAAAGTCTAATATAGGTACCCTTTTCCAATCTAATTAGTGCCCTTTTCCCTTTTTAATATGTGCCGGTCAAGTTCCTTCTGATTATGCCCCTTTCCCTTTTTAATAAGGGCCCCTACCACTTTTCACAAATGCCCCTATTAACATCTGATAGGGGCCCTCTTTCCTTAAACAAATGCCCCTTTTCCATTCTCATAAGTGCCCCATTTCATCTCTGGTGAGGTCCCCTTTTTCAGGTACGAGAAGTTCCCCATTTTCACCTTGGATAATTGCAGTTTGTAATGAGTGTCCTTTTCTCTTCTATAAGTGCCCCCTTTTCTTTCTCTATAATATGTGCCCATGCATGGTCATGATATAAGTTAGCGACTTACAGAAACTATTTGGTATAAATGTGTTACTTATATGAAAGGTCCTTCCAGTCTTTCATAATTGGATTGTGCTTGTACGGGCTTAAAGCTTATCTGCCGTAGTTTACAGGGGGATTAGACCGCTCTGCAAGGTCACTGGACAAGTGGTTATCTCATCAACTCAGCTCTCAGTTAACATAAGAAAAAGAGGATCATGGGGGACCAATGGTCACCGATTAGGCATTGTTTGTTATATAGAGGGCGCAAGTAGCTACCAGTAGTGCAGTGGGCCTTTAAAACCCACCAGGATTTGTTGTTTCCACTCTTTGTAAGGTGTAATTTTTCTCACTCTGAGCTAAAAAATCTTAATTTGTTTTGCTCGCTTGCTTCGCTCGATCGCTCCCAAATGAACATTCAGGCCATCACCCCCAACTGCATATTATGATGCTTAAGCAGTATCTTACCATGTAAAGATAGATATACATATTGAAATTTGAAATCTTTCCAGATAATGTGATCATAATTATGACAATGCCAATGGAGACCCCTCTATAAATTGTATATTTTCGCTTTGAGGTTTCGCTTTGTATAGGTGCCCCTTTCTGTTGGTGGTAACATTATTAATATCTTATTACAATTACAAATTATATATCCATATCCATAGTCTACTTGAATTTGCTAATTTCATTGCTTATTTCAATTTTTTTCCTTATTGTTCTATTTATATCAAAGCTTTTTTTCAATTATTATCGCACCAAAATTCTCAAAATGGCAACGCGTATACGTTGACGCGAACTGATCTTCTTGCATAATATATTGCATAACTTTCATAAGTTTGTTTTACTTATGAAATTTACGGCAACGGCGTCAACATGGCTGCATCTCGATACAGGAAGTTTCTTCGTTTGATGGAAGAATGGCCCGCAGATCCGTCGAAAAGGGGTAGAGATTTGGCGGTTACTATTCGGGAAAGAGTGGCACATGGTTTTAGAAGAGGTGAAAACTCTGAGGTTAGTTAATCTGATTTTAAACATGGCCATTTTCGTCCAACTTTACGTCGTGTAGTCCCTTGCGTTGTAATACGTGTGAGTTGTATTTTTCCTCGCAAAATGAGAACGTACAGATGTATGTAGGACGACATGCATGCACTGCTGTCGCGCCACGGCCCACACAGAGCTGCATTTCTATCCTGGCTGTGTATTAAATACTGTTTAGACGATTCTCAACATTTCAAACACCACTGTTCAAAACTCAACTGAGTTCACTCAAAATCGGTACTTTAGTGACAATTGACATGATTGATGATAGACCGAAAGCTTCAGTCTCTATAATTTAATAATCGTCGGTTGTTCCACTGAGACTACGTCTGGCTCCACTAGACCTCCGGTTATAGAGACTGAACGATCGCCTATGCCAGCCTATGTTGAAGATATCACGGCTAGATTTTAGCCGCTAGGCCCCTCCCACAAACATCACAAACTTGCCACGGCCGTATTGTTATGCCCCCAAAATCCCCCAAAATGTCATTTTACCTCGTCTCAGTGGAACAACCGACGATTATAGAGACTGAAGCTTTCGGTCTAGATTGATGACACCTAATTTAAATAGCAGTAAAAAAACTAATACAATCTTTTCAACTTAGTCTAAATAGATCTACCGAGGATGTCAAAAAAGAATACTTTGAAAATTTAAATCGTGAGTCTACTGTCAAACTTGCCGATCAGCCGGTTTGTATTCATTGTGTGCAATTAGTGTGCAATGTGTGTAGTGTGTGCAATTGATGCCTCTCAGTGCTAGAGGTCAATACGCATTTACAGCAAGCTCCTGTTTTGGTCGTTAATTAGAGCTAGCCACAGCTGGAGGTCAATTATCATCATTATTATTTTAGCTTTAGTACGGTTATGTAGGTTTCTTTACCAGGATCTGGGAATTCTAGTGACCACCATGCACCATGACGAGGGACTCTATAAATGCTCTTACTCTTTGGCCTCTCTCTTTCCATTTTGTGATGTTCTAATGGTCGTGTCGTCTGTGCGGCTAGGGTATACAGAAGTATCATGCAGAAGCGGATCTAGAGGGGGGGTTGGGGGGGTTGCAACCCCCCCAAAAAAAAATCCGGGGACCATTTTTTTAAATCTTATCTTTTTTTTTAAACTTGTAATTTTATTTTATTCTATTTCTATGTATTTATTTCATTTATTATTATTATATTATTATTATTATTATTATTATTATTTCTTTTTGGGGGGAGGGGGGGGGGGGGGGGTTGGGCGAACAAATGTCACAGAGTCCCTTGCCCCCCCCCCCCCCCCCCCTGGGATCTGGGAATTCTAGTGACCACCATGCACCATGACGAGGGACTCTATAAATGCTCTTACTCTTTGGCCTCTCTCTTTCCATTTTGTGATGTTCTAATGGTCGTGTCGTCTGTGCGGCTAGGGTATACAGAAGTATCATGCAGAAGCGGATCTAGAGGGGGGGTTGGGGGGGTTGCAACCCCCCCAAAAAAAAAATCCGGGGACCATTTTTTTAAATCTTATCTTTTTTTTTAAACTTGTAATTTTATTTTATTCTATTTCTATGTATTTATTTCATTTATTATTATTATTATTATTATTATTATTATTATTATTATTTCTTTTTGGGGGGAGGGGGGGGGGGGGTTGGGCGAACAAATGTCACAGAGTCCCTTGCCCCCCCCCCCCCATCAGCTTGTTTGAGGACACGGGCCACCGCCGAAGTGAAAAAAAAAAGAAAGAAAAAAGAACGCACGCTGGAGAGAAACCCTTTCAAGTGCAAATATTGTGAGAAGATTTTCAACTCATCTGGTAACTTAACCAAACACATGATAACTCTGGATATAACTGTGTATTTAACTGTTACTTGATTTAAAAAGACGTTATCATGCACTGCTTTTTATGGTCTCCATTGTGTTAATACATGTAGATGCCAGGAAAACATCACTTACGGGGTTCAAATAAACACCCCCAAAAAAATCAGGTCGCCGCTTTGCGGCTCGTGGACGATGCTCCGCATCGTCATTATTTTGGTCAACCCCCCCCCCCCCCTTAGCAAAAAGCTAGATCCGCCCCTGTCATGCCATGTTTTTTTGTGTTACACTGAAATGTGAAACCACAAGATTGTAAGTGTGAAACAATATGATTATTCATTTGTTTTTCTGCAAACAAAATGTAACACATATTTTTTAAGCGCCTTGGATTAATTCTCATGTGCGAGAAGCTGCAGCTTTTTAACCAGAGAGCGCATGCATCAAAGCCGATTGGGTTAATCCCGGATGCACGATTTGCCCACGAAAAGCTGCATTGTGTGTGTCCGAAGACCGTCGTTTTCAAGCCAGAAAAACTGTGATTAATTTTCAACCCATTGAAATATTCGTCATACTTGTTTAGCTCCCTCTGCGGCTAAACTAAGTTATTTAGCTTAGCTTGAGTTCGTGTCTAAATAGCACTGTACTCTGTATATTTGGAATGGATCATTATGCACAATAAAAACACCGTTTAAAAGGGTTGTTTACAAGTAATAAGACCTGTTTAAAAAATTCAACAAGTTGTTGTATTGTAATGAACTGTTAGCATTTTAAACAATTACGTTTTATCTGTGTATTAATAACCGAATGAATTTTTAAAAAATAGATTTTTTTCGGGGAGGTAACTTGGAGGTGTCAATCTAGACACACGGGTTATGGGAGCCCCATTCAAATTTAATTCTCCAGCAATTAATAGAAATAAAGACTAGAGGTTTTTTTTTCTCTCTCGCCGGTATAAACAATTGCGTGCTGGCCATAAAACCAATGTGTTGATTCATGAATTCTTGTTTGGAGACTATGCCATTCCATTGTCATTTAACTCATAGAGGCAAAACACATTTTACGTAAGGTTTTAAATATTATTTTTTTCTTTGAACTTGGTAATAAAGCCCTCTCCAAAGAAAATATTTTCTCTTGCTTCTGTTTATCTCTTTTCCTCCCTCTCTTCTCTTTCTCTCTCCCCACTCTCTCTTTTGTTTCTTCACTGGCCACCCATTATGGGTGCAGTCTGCCTCCCTATCCGCATTCTGCCCAGTGCCCCCCCTCCCCCGTACGCTAGTGTTTCTCCGGCTTATTATTATCATTATAATCATCATCATATTATTATTATTATCATTATTTAGATGGGTGATGAATAATGAAAGGAAAGCAATGAATTATAAAAATTTGTTTATAATCGTTTAAAAATTTGGGTTGGTTTTACTCTTCCATTCAATAAATCTCATTCAAATGTGAAAACTGCACTTATGATACATTTTTTGTCTTCCTCCCTCCCCAAGTATACTAATGTGTCTCCAGCTTTTTGTTTTGTTGTTGTTAGGTGGGGGTAATGGAAGGAAGGTAACAAATCATTGATTGACATTCGTTTAGAAATTTGCGTTAATTTTGCTCACATCACAAACAAAAATCTTATTAGGATAAATCAATACTCTTGCACAAGATTCAAGATTACGATACTTCATTTCTCCAATCGTGCAAAATATAAACTAATATTATCAATTGCTCCTGTTTGTTGTACTTTCACATTATTCATTATAATCGTTTTTTTTTCATAAGCATGTCCATTTTTCTTTCACATGAAATTCTGATACTGCTGGTACTTCATTTGGAGCAGCGTAATCCGCGCTCGCCCTGAAGAAATCTCATGACAGCAAGCACCCTAGTACCTCATAATCCGCCCTTCTATTGTTCGAGTTTATAACCATGACAACGAACTCTACCTTTGACCAAGTTCATTGTTCCTCTTACGTAACATAGATGTACATGTAGATAGGCTTCATACATAACTCTTTTCGTATAATCATTCTATATACCGGTAGTTCTAAAATGCTTTCAAATATTTTGTGTCGTTTTTGTTTGGCTTTGTCAATTTACTTACAAACTATTATTGTCAAAATTTGCCAATACCACCAAACTATAAAGTTTTCCCTATCATCTTCCGCTCTAGAATACTATTTATTTATTTTTATTTGTTCGGTCCTTTTTACATTTTTCTTGTCTCTCTCTCTTCAAGATTTCTTCTGTTTTTGTAAGGGTATTTATGCTGTTAATTTTTTTTCAGTTGCGATTTTTATTTTTTCAACCTGCTGTCCCCAAAATCTTACCAGTTTGTTTTTCTTTGGAGATACATAATATCATTAAGTTTGAAGTTCATATCTTAAGTGGTTCTTGAGATATGGAGATAAAGAAAAAGCGGGATAAACGGACATACCCTGTTCATGACACTGTAAATCAAAACAACGTTTAGATACTGTTAATAATAGTTTCCCCTATTTTCAACAGATAGGTGAAATTCAAATTCTAGCATCGCTTCAAATATTCATGTTAACAATAAATTTTAACATGGATATTAGTTTTTTTTCAGGC